ACACACACACACACACACACATAATATTTTTTAAAGTATAATATGTAAATTATATTATATATGCGAGATTAAATGAGAAAAAAAACTATTTAATCTTATATATTTTTCTCGGAACCCTAGAAGCGGCGTTCTGAATGAGAATCTATCTTTTAACCTATCTGAACTTGTATTATTGTATGCCAGCAACCTTATCTTACCCAGTATATAGCATTCAAACTTTGTACTGTTGTCAAATGTACGCGTCGCATTTCATTTATGACTAAACGAGTTAAACAGCGTTTCTGTATCTTGAAATTCCTAAGTCATTTTGCAGTTCTCAGATGATTAATCATTATTTTCCATTAATAGCTCATGGACTTTCTCAATAATTTCAAGTTGTTTACTTGTTGATAGCCTGCCTGAACGTTCGATTCGGTCCGAAATGCGACTTACGCGTTAGACAATAATTTAAAATTTGGCTGTTAGACAACAACTAAGAGTACTGTTAATGTAATGCTACAATGCTTTGAAGTATTCTTTGATTGCTCAATTAGTAAAACTCTTTCTTCTACTTTATCAATCAAATGCTTCAAAGCATTTATAGTAAGACTTTGATTGCACGCTGGATAAGATAAGGCAGTATAAATTCAAATAAGTTCAAGGTCCCTTATCATTTAACGCTTTTGAAAACAACCTGTGTTCTAAGAAGAATAATAAGATTAAATACTTTTTGATTAAACCTCACATGTATATACAATATTTTTACCTTATTATAGGTGGTCGATTGGAGAGGCAATGATTGGTTCAGAGGTTCTAAGATACCAGCTGCTCATCCAAATTCAAGATTCTGTACTCCAGCAAAGCAATGTCCCATTATTGATCCCTGTTGGGAAGATCCAGCTGGAGTCCCAATCGATGCTATATTATTTGGAGGACGTAGACCTGAAGGTGTACCTTTGGTTTATCAAGCTCGAAACTGGCAACATGGCGTTTTCATTGGTGCTGCAATGAGATCTGAAGCTACAGCCGCTGCGGAACATAAGGTATATTAATGAACATTTGTCTTTACTGCATCTCATTATTTTGATCAAAAGGAACGAGAAAGCAAGTACAGATCTCAATATAAATATAGATTCTATATTAACTTAAAATACATTTATAGAAGAACTAGAGATTTACAAACTTCTTACTCTATAAGAGAAAGTTACAAACTAAAGTTACTGGATCCAATACATTTTGCAGGGTAAAGTAATCATGCATGATCCGTTTGCTATGAGACCCTTCTTTGGATATAATTTTGGACACTATCTTGCCCACTGGTTGAGTATGGCAAATGTGAAGAACGGCAAATTACCAGCGATATTCCATGTGAACTGGTTCAGGAAAGATTCAAGCGGGAAGTTTTTATGGCCAGGATTTGGTGAGAATTCACGTGTCCTCGATTGGATTCTTCGAAGGATCGATGGTGAAGATATTGCTGAGGACTCGCCAATTGGCTTATTGCCAAAACCAGGATCTATAAATTTAGAAAATCTCACAGAAAATATAAACATGATGGAATTATTTCGATTACCGAAAACTTTCTGGCAGAAAGAAGTCGAAGATTTGAGGGAATATTTTGATGCTCAAGTAGGAAACGATTTACCCAAAGCTATTGCAAAGGAACTCAATCGCCTCTCTGATAACGTTAATAATCTTTAATTTTCTAATTATATAATCATATGTACATAAATCTATAGTTATGTTTTTCAAGTATTCATAACTTTCATATTAAATTATAATAATAGTGCAATTGTGATTTTAATACAAGATTTGTATAGCAAAACTTTATCAACTTAAATAGTAGTCTTGAAAATAGAAAAGATTTTGCTTGATGTGTTCCATTATACATAAGATTAAACAAAATAATTTTAAGTAATTATATATTAAATAATTTTAAGTAATTACACA